AAAGGAATATGAACCAGCTGGTGACCTCAATGTAGCAAACCACGTCATCAAGGTACAATTTACAATCTATTTGACAATATTGATTTATCTCATCAAATATCAACTGCTTCTGGTGTTAATATTAAGTACTGCCTCAGTAGAAAACTCTTAAAAGTCAATCACCTCCATTCCAAAATTAAACTAACCACCACTAATGTGAATGATCTACGGTTTGCAAATGACTGTAGTGCATCCACAGCACAACAATGCACCTCCCCTCCCGCCCTGGCTATCAAATTACTGGACAATGTGAATTCAATCCCATGCCTTAGAAGCAGCTCTTGGAGTTGACAGACATTGATGATGAAATTCAACATCACCTTCATTTGCCATCGCAACCTTTGGCCACCTGAGAAATTATACGCCTGATGACAAAGTTCTCAAACCTAACACCAAATTTATAACCTACAGGCCAGTGTTGTTTCAGCCCTCCTGAATGCATCAGAAACATGGACAATGTATAGCAGGCAACTGAAAGTCCTGGAGAGATATGCCCAGTGATGCTTCGACAAAATCCCACAAATCTACTGGCACGATGGGTGTTCCAACATCAGTGTCCTCTCTCAGGCCACCATCGTCACCAAGCTCTCTACTCCAAGCTTTGTCATTGAAGGTAGAGGTACTGCTTCAAGAACATTCTCAAAATCCCATAGAAATAATGCAATATCTCCACTGATTCATGGGAATCTCTAGCCCAAGTTCCCTCAAACTGGAGAAAAACCCACACGAGGTGCCGAACATTTCAAGCATCTCTGACAGGCTAAGCAAATGCAAATCACAGAAAGTGTGTGCAATAACTCAAGCATCCCACCCACCCACTTGGACAAACACCAGCTACCCCCAGCTCTGATAGGGTCTGTGGATCTAGTATTGGATTGTTTAGTCAGACCATAGAATCCACAACACCTAACTGAAAGAAAGTCATCCTTGATTGTGAGCAGTTTCTTGAGAAGAAGAGTTGATTTGCAAGCATCTTTTGGCAAGGGAGTACTCAATAAAAGGCAGAACTCGAGGAACCTTGGAGGAACAGAGGGATCTTGGAATCCTTATCCACAGACCCCTGAAGATGGCATGACAGCTTAATAGGGTAGTTAACAAGGCATATGGGACACTTGTATTTATCAGTTGAAACATAGATTAAAAGAGCAAGGGGATTACATTGGAGCTGTACAGGACCTTGGTTAGGCCACAGCTGTTGTACCGTTTGCAGTTCTGGTCAGTGCCCCATGGAAAGGATGTGATTGCACTGGAGGGGATGCAAAGGAAATTCACCAGGATGTTGCCTGGGATGGAGCACATTAGTTATGAAAAGAGGATGGATAAGCATAAGCAGTTTTTCCGCCGCCTCCGCCTCCACGCTTACTTCTTTAACCGTGAACCTAACCCTCCCTCTACTGACCCCTTCTCCCGCTTCCAACACACCCTCTCCTCCTGGACGCCACCCCAAGGCCTCCTACCCTCCCTCGACCTCTTCATCTCCAACTGCCGTCGAGACATCAATCGCCTCAACCTCTCCACCCCTCTCACCCACTCCAACCTCTCCCCTGCAGAACGTGCAGCCCTCCGCTCCCTCCGCTCCAATCCCAACTTCACCATAAAACCCGCGGACAAGGGAGGCGCAGTTGTAGTATGGCGCACTGACCTCTACATCGCCGAGGCC